GTAAAGTTGATAAGTATTTTTGTTACATTTTTAAACCTACTTTACAAATCTAACAGACTATTTTCAAAGTAGGGTTTTATCTTTTATTTTTATATATTAAGTTATGCATTATTAAATTTAAATAAGGATTGATTACCACCACACTCCTTCAATGACTCTCAAAATTATTGAATGACAATCGTGGAATCTAAATCATCTATAGTTTATTATAAGGTACTTGGAATTTTGAGCAATATTCTGTAGTTTGATTGTTTTCCCAATACTTCAATGGAATATCTTCTTCATTGCTAGTAGGGGCAATGATTTTGAACGAATTTGAATCTATTTGGAAGGAATCATCGGGCAAATTGTTTAATTTAGTTAATTCAAACTTGATTTCATCCTCTAGTTCAGAATACAAATCAAATTGCTTTAGTACAAAATTGTAGAAATCCTCTTGTTGAATTGAGTTCCATACCCTTAAGTTACCGTTAATGAATCTTTCGATCACTTTGTTTATTGCAATGGATCTATTATCGTAATAAAGCAGCGGTGGTTCTACTTTTGAATCCGAGGTGTGATTGGTATCTTGCCTATAAGAAGGATGGCCGGTATTTTCCTTGGGGATTTCCACATCTATAATCTCAAGAAACTTTCTTCTAGGTAAACATTTATCAAGGGCAAGAAAATGCGTTTCAAGTACTTCATTATCTACTTTTAAAGGTAATTGGCTAGGGGTAGTAGGTGCAATTTCGAAATCATCCATTGTCAATTCAATTTTGTCAGTATTCAGCTTCTTATCAAAGTCATCCATATCAAGCTTTATTTCTTCATTATTTTCCATTGCATCCATATTTAATTCTAGCTTATTACTGTCCATACCTTCATCCATTTCTAGTTCAATCTTTTCATCATTTTGAGCATCATTCTTTACTTCATCGTCATTGTATTTGCTCTTCTTCGGCGCAGAATCGGCGTCATGATTGTTACCTCTTTTTACATTGTGTTTTACCAAAGCTTGGAATCTTACATGGAGATGTGATGCAAACCAATATCTAGGTTTTAAATGATCTAGCAAAACATTATTCAATGGACTGCCTAACGTGCCATTATTGATATCAGCTTTGAAAAAGGGTTTGTCTTTAAGCAACTTTCTCATATTTCCTTTCTTCTCAATATGCTGAGGCCAATCGTGACTTAATACAATATCTAATTTCTGCTGATCCATCAAATACATCTTTAAATAATTTTTGGCTTTCACTTGATATATAGAACGAATAGTATGTGGATTGTATGGTAACCTTTCATCCTTATTGTCGGCTCTAATAGAGTCATAGAATGATCTTCGATTATAAATACCACTAAGTCCGCCAATTTGTAGACCCCTGAACCAAACACACCCAAATTCACCAAGGTAATATATATTAGGAGCAACCCATCCACCATATTTCAATTCCTTTAAATAAGAAGAACTCTCATGGTTACCGCCAATGAATATTGTTAACACGGGAGCACGCTTTGCCCCCGAGTAGTATTCATGAAAATCACCCAATTTCTTATATTTCTCTGGAACAGAAATGGTTTGTAAGTCTACCATATTTCTAATTGCTTGAAAATCACCACATATGAGTAATAGATCAACGTTATCAGGTATGGCCTGATATATTTTGTCCAACTCACCATGGCAGCACCCTTCGACCGCAATTTTTAGAGTCCTCGTCGATTTCATGGTACAATGTGTACATAAATTGTCTAATCTCTAGCATTTTTTTGTCAGATAAATAAAGCGAAAATAAAAAATCATATTCAGAGTAGGGTAGTTACAACATTATTGCATGGACATATCCATAACTTTTAATATAATACTATATATCAAATTTCTACTTCTCTATTTCTAACTACTCTAGAACTTGAAAACATTTTCCTTGGTGTAACCTAAGTCAGCTAAAGCACCTTCAACTTCACCTTGGTCAGTTGGAGAATTCTTAGGACCTGAAATAGCCTTGTACAAACCTGGTGGACCACAAACGAAAACCTTGTTGTCCTTACCTGGACCTGGTAAACTAGATTTCAAGAAGTCCTTGGAAATGTAACCAGTTTCACCCTTCCAGCCTTCAGGAGCCTTGTCGAGGAAGTAAACAATCTTAACTTGGTCCTTGTGTTGTTCAGCAATGGTGTCTAATTCTTTCTTAATCAAAATATCCTTTTCAGTGAGGTTACCGTAGAATAAGTTAACCTTGGTCTTGTCTTCAGGGTTCTTGGTAATTTCGTGCAACAATTGGTACAATGGGGTGATACCGGTACCACCACCGATCAAAGCAATCGACTTGTATTGGTTTGGTTCCCACTTCCACTTGACAACTGGTCCCTTAAATGATAATGTGTCGTTAGGCTTCAAGTCGTGGATGTGGTTAGACATCTTACCTCCATCGTATTTCTTAATGACAAATTCAATTGTACCCTTACTATCAACATCTGAAATTGGTGTGTATGGTCTGATAACATTGTTACCCTTTGGTGTAACAAATTTGGTCAATAAACACGATGCATTAATCAATCCTGACACATCATCCTTGTTGGACAATTCGAAAACGAAATGCTTGGTATTGTGGGTAGTATCCCAGCTTTTAGCCAACTTCAAGTCAACCCATTCGTCATTACCAGTGAAGGTTTTTCCGGATTCATTCATAATAGAAGTAGTGGAAAATTGGTATGCTAATCCGATACTTCCTACTGTAGCAGCAAATGGTGCTAACACCTTAAAACTAGTTAAATTCTTACTTAATTGACGAGTAAACGACATATTTTATTGATTATTTGTTTTAATTGATTACTAACAAGAATTGATAATAATTAAAGCAATTATCCAAAAATAATTATAATACAATTCGGAATCATATTTCTTCGAATGGACTTATATACTATTTGCTCGGGCCTAAATTGCTTATATTACGTAATATGTGGACTATTTACATAATCCGAACTGACCACTTAAGACCAGGTAATAGCAAGGATTTTCCAGTTTGATACTAGAATAAAGTGTATAGATCGGATCAAAAGTAATAACTGAACGTTGATATATTGTACTTGAGTCGTTTGATAGAAGAAAATAGCCAAGTATGTTGAAAAATAAGACTCAGAAAGAATTGCTACAATTATGCCGGACAATTATCCAGCCTTTGGCACCCAATTTCCACAAGGGACAATCTGGTAAGATAGCAGTTATTGGGGGCAGTGAAGATTATACTGGAGCACCCTTCTTCGCTAGTCACTCGTCTGCATTGCTAGGAGCGGACTTAAGTCATGTTATTTGCGAGAAGATGGCATCGCCGGTGTTGAAGCTGTACTCGCCAGATTTGATGGTGCACCCGTATTTGTACGAGCTCCAGAGCCCGGAGATGAAGGAACATTTGTCGAAGAGTGAGGTGGAGGAATTGCTCAAGTTGACGGTGGAGGATGTGGTGGTGAAGGACCAACGCCAATTAGATGGGATTATTGAGGACATAATATTGCCGAAGATCGTGCGGTTGTTGGAAAGAATTGATATAGTTGTGATTGGGCCGGGGTTCGGCAGAGATCCGTTGATGTTGAAGACACTTGTAAAGATCATAGAGCAACTCAAGGTGATGAACAAGCCCATGATCTTGGATGCCGATGCGTTGTATTTGCTATCGATCAACCCACTACTTGTGAAAAATTACACCAAGGCAATCATAACCCCCAATGTGGTAGAATTTGACAGGCTTGCCAAAAAGTTGAACATCAAGTTTTCCATTGGCGAGACTGACGTTTCCAACCTTATTGAGTCTGCGACCCAGTTGTCGCAAAAACTAGGAAATGTCACTGTTATCCAAAAAAACTTCAAGGAAATAATGGTTTGCGACGACCAATATCTCATCAATGAACTTAAGGGATCAAATAGACGAGTTGGGGGTCAAGGTGACACTCTAACTGGAGCCATTGCTACGTTTGTGAACTGGTCTAACAACTACAATAACGGTTTATGGGATGCGACAACTAAAAAAGAAAAGTTATCGCCTGAAGACCTGAATTTGTTAGCCTGCTTTGCAGCCTCATCTACAGTGAGACTTGCAGCTTCCAAAGCCTTTGCTAAATACGGCAGATCAATGCAAACGTCCAACCTTCATGAGTTTCTTGGCGAGGCCTACGATGAATTATTCGAAAATGACAATTATATAAAGCTTTAAAGTAGTTTAACTATATCTTTTATCGACACTTATGACAATTAATGACATACTATCAGACCCTTCCTAGTATTTTATCGGTCTATTGCCGGCTAGACTAGTAGTTCAGATCAGAAACCACACTAGAGTGAAGAGTTACACAAAACCCCTGATAAAAGAAAAGAGGGGAGAATGACTTTGATAAAAATACCCGAGGTTATAATATATATATATATAGTCAACGTTTTCATCACCAGAAGCCATTTTCATTACAAATAGAATATATATAAGATCATTAGACATGGATATGGCCAGCTGTGGACCATCCAACGCATTACAGAATTTGTCCAAACATACTCAAAGGGACAATACCTTACAAAATGAGATAATTAGAAACCAGCCTCAACAGGGAAATGGATTCAGAAACCAACCAATAGTGGACCAAAGATTAAATCAGGACTTCCAGCAGTTTAGTAACGGACAGATATTTGATCAGTACCAGTCTGAGCCAGTTCGTCAGCAATTTCATCAGCATCATCGTCAACATAACCAGCCTCAATATAGTCAGCATCAACCTCAACAAGGATGGGTACAAGATTTTTCAAATATGAGTATAAATCAACAGCCAAGGCACCAGAGTGGGAAAATACAGAATGGTAATGTACAGAATGACTGGCATCAACAATTTATGAAACAACACCAGTCATCGCAACAGCCATTGCAGAATAATGTAGCTTATCAGCCTCAGCATCAAATGGGAGGGTTCCAGATGAACATGAGAACCAACTTATCAAATTCATTATATCAGACCAGAGGAAATATGTCCGAACATAAAGAGATACATAAGTTGGAAGAAGAGAACCAAATTTTTGATGCACAGTTTGACCAGTTAGAGAGAGAATTACAGCAAGAGCAGATGGGTAACGAACAAACAGCAGAAGTGCAAATGGATTCAAATGAGATCGACAAGGAACAGTTTGCGAGGACAGCGCAACAGGTCCAGGAGTCGATGCTTAAAGGCGAGAACAGCGAAACGAATGCAAAATTCAAGAATTCGAATTTCTTGAAGCTAATGAGCTCAATTTCGAACAGATCAGTCGAGTTATCTGCAGAAGGAGATAAGTTGGTGAGCAAAGAATCCGGTGAAGATATAAGGGATAACCCTGATCTCGTTGCGTCCCAATCACCGACCCCAGCACCATTGTTAAATCAGGAAAACACAAATTATATTCCTATGTCACGAGATGACAAACCTACCCAGGATACTCTTACACTGCATTTGCCCGACCCATTGGCACATATCAAGAAGGGTTCAGTTGAAGGAGACGTGAGTCCATTCCAGGCTGCACAGATCGTGAGTGGGAACCAGGTCAAGGCTTCTGATTGGATGGAAGAAGATGATTGGCTTGATATGACAGAGGACGCACCCTTCCCGGTGACGGGTGGTCCTCGAAGGGCTCCACAATCCCAAACTCGTCCAAATATAATGCCGGACGAATGGCAAGAAGTATACGACGACTACAAGCACGATGACGATTTCAATTAATATGCTTTACATAGACAATATATTTTCGCGGAAACTACATAATTACCACGTAGACCATACATGTAGAACACTTTCGTCTAACCCTCGTCCATTCGCTCTTTCCGTACAAAATGGTTATTGTAATGGTTCACATTCTCGGATTGACCCATTCCGCTATACATACCGCTATTGATCTATTATTCTTTCCATCTATAATTTACTATTGTTCCTTCCTCTTGTTTCTTATCACCGATTATTCTTCCACAGCAGATATATTATTTTCTGTTCATTCTCACTCCCTCCTGTTGCCTCTACTGCTCCTCCTACGACGCCTCCCATAACCCCTGCTATAATTTCGCCACTCGCGTCTTCTCATTTGGCCGGAATTCTAGTTCCTGTTTGCACCCAATTAGTATTGCCTACAAGTCCCATACCACCTCTGCACTTGTCTCACAGACGTCTGACAGACTCGAACCGGTGTCCAGATATCGTCACGATGACATCACACGAGCATGCGATTTCCGATTTTTTCCTTCTCGGACTTAGTTGTTCCGTAATTGTACCGCAACGGTGCCGATTTGCCCTCTTTGACCAATATGTCCAAGCGTCTTGTGAAGCAAATGCAAACTTCAGTTCATTTCAGTTTATACAGTGGTATTCTCCACCAATTGTGTTACATTGTCATATATCAGGCTGGCCAAGAATCAATGCGGTAATCATTGAGGAGGAAAGGAATTCGTAAGAAGAAAAATTCGTTATAGCAACAGCCTAAGCATTCATCCCAAGAAAATATTCTCAACTTAGTTGAATTCGAGATTCATCTTTTTCTGAACATGATCCCATGAAATAAATGTAGACACCACAATTTACAAATTCTACCGTCTTTATAATCAAGGCTAATGCTTTAATCAAAACGTCGTTTGGATCATTGTCTTTCGTTCAACTCTGTAAATTCTTAGAATGGCTTGTAATAACTGGCTGTAGTACTGAGTTCGCTCCAAGCATAACAGTTTGCCGACGTTGGCCTAAGAATTTAACTCCTTTAGAGATTCACAGCTCACCCTATACTTAATTTGCATATAAGAAAGGTTAAGATCAATAATGTCTTATGGGATAGCTTTTGAATGGACATTGTCAATGAAAGGGCTGATCCGTAGTTGATGACATGGATATGACTGACTACTTAGGAATTCTACTGTCTCAATTAAAAGAAAGATTAAATAGGCTTGTGATCACACCTAAAGAATATACTTGTCTATGGACTCCCTGATATAAGAAAAAGGTAAAAAGAGTTAAGTAAAAAATAATACTTAAATATCTTTTACATATATAATACAGGTATTCGTATTTACCTTAACAAGTGATATATGCTTTCAAGCAAGATTCAACAACCGACGCAACTACTAGAGTCTTCTCTTCTTGTAATTGTCTACCAACTACCTGGAGGCAAACCGGCATTGTATCGTATAATTCAGCATCATAATACTTATGAAATATCTCGTCGATATCATTGCTAGGAATGTAATCGGATTGAACAGGATCAAGCTTTTTGTCAGCCTTAGTTACTGGCAATACAACACTAGGATAATCAACAAAATTAAAAGGGCAACTATAATTCAATGTATTCAAACTATCAGGTAAATAGGCACATGATGGCCATACGGGACAAATTAAACCATCAATTGGTTTACCAGATTTAGTTCTATTTGCAGTTTCATTCCAAAGTTTAGCAAAATCTTGTTTTCCTTCATAATGTTTTCTACATAAATCCCACCATTCATTTACATTTAATGCAGGCTTCTGCAGATCTAATACAATCATATCGTTGACTTGTTTAACAATAGGTTCCCCTGACTTTTTACACATCTCTAAAACTTCTAAACCCTGATCTGCAGTAAATATTTCAGTTGCTGTTTCGAGATATTTACTATTTGGTATATTTATATCAATAACTTCATGGCCCTGAGCCTTTAAAGATTCAATAACTTGTTTTAAAGCCCTTTGAAGAGGTGGGTGAGGCTTTATTTGACCATCAAATAACCATATTCCAAATGACAATCTTTCCTGCTTTAATCTTGAATAATCATTATAAGGAATAGGTACAACTTTTGGATCAAACTCCCAGAGTTTCCATTCAATAATGAGTTTTGTAATATATTCTACATCTGCTAAACTTCTTGCCATTGGTCCAATTGCAGAAGGCATTGTTTCTTGTGAATTATAAGAATTAGTAACTCTCAAATAAGAAATTCTACCAGTAGAAGGTTTTAAAGCATGGAGACCTTGAAAAGCAGATGGAATACGAATACTTCCTCCAATATCAGTTCCAAACCCCATTGGAGATGCTCCAGCTCCAATAAGCGCACCTTCACCACCTGATGAACCACCACTTGTTAATTTATAATTAGAAGCATTCAAAGTGTACCCATGAACATTAGAGACAGTTTCAGGTGATAGCATTGCCATTGGTACAGTAGTTTTAACATAAAATACAGCACCAGCCTTTTGCAAGTATTCAGCTAATAAACTAATTTCAGTTTTTGGTTTATTCAATAACGCAACATACCCAATGGCACTATCAATGCCAGGAAGATCAACTTGATCTTTAAGTGAAATTGGAATCCCATGTAATGGACCAACCACGCAACCTTTTTTTTCAAAATAATTATCAAGCTCTTTAGCTTGTTCAAAAGCCTTATCGAAGAAGATTTCACTGCAACAATTTAAAATCTGTTGGGCCATTGCGGCTCTATGACAGTAAGCCTTTGCCACAGTCAAAGCTTTTAATTCGCCCTTCCTAATTTTGCATTGAAGTTGCAACATAGTTAAACTTGTAATATCAACTTCAGCTTGAGGAAGAATTGAATCTAAATATTCATAAGTATTAATATACTTTGCTTGAATCATATCCTCTTTGATTGAATCATTAATCCAATCTGATGGAATTGAAGCTTTAACAACATTTCTTTTAGCTTCAACTATATCTTCCCAACTTTTAACAGTCATACTTCTTACTTTCTATTTTTTTTTTTTTGATCCGTCTGTCTGATCTAATTGCGTGCATACCATCATATCTGTCTGTTTCAATATATATATATATATATATTATACTTCTTTACTGATAAGCAGACATGTTTAGATACTGTATCTACTTTCCAAGTTTATCAGTAGAATATGGATCTCGGGATTCGGATCTCGGAATAAATTCCATTACAGGCTCTACTGTTTAAGGATTCACTACTACATAATTGTCATCATCAGATAACAGCTTATCATATGTCCTTATCAGTCAAAATCTAGTCTTACTCTAATATAAAATGAGCAGAGTAACTATATAATTGGATCTGGGAATAACACCCTAGGAGAAAATTACATAGAAGACTCATCTAAAGAATAGAAGAAAATGGATACAATTCTTAGTCAAGGTTATGGTTATGGTTTTGCTTTAGGGCTTGGAGCTGCATTTGCTTTGTTGATGGTGGTTATTACAAAGGTTAGTACTCTGTATTTGGGGCAAGTACAAACTTCAGAACGGTTTTCAACTGCTTCAAGAAGTGTCAAATCAGGTTTAATTGCCTCAAGCACTGTTTCAGCTTGGACTTGGCCAGCCACGCTTCTTACATCTGGTCAATGGAGTTATGATCATGGTATCAGCGGTGGATTTTTGTACGGCATTGGGGGGACGCTTCAAATCACATTATTTTTATTTTTAGCTATTCAATTAAAAAGGAATGCACCATCAGCTCATACTATTTCAGAATGCTTTTATATTAGATTTGGGAAATTGGGACATTGTGTGTTTCTTTTTTACTGTATAGCAACAAATATTTTGATATCTGCCTTATTGCTTTTAGGTGGTTCTCAAGCTTTTGCTGCCACTACAGGTATGCATGTTGTTGCAGCAAGTTTCCTATTGCCACTTAATGTAATTGTCTATACTACAATGGGTGGATTAAAAGCTACTTTCATATCTGATTGGACCCATACAGTTATTATTTATGGGATTTTGTTATCTACTTGTTATACCATTTATTGCTCTTCACCGCTTATTGGGTCACCAAGTAAGATGTACGATCTTTTAGTTGAAGTTCAAGAAATCTTCCCTTCGGCAACTGGCCAAAGTTACCTTTCTTTTCATGATAAATCAATGTACTTTCTTACTTGGTCAGTCGCAATTGGTGGCCTTAGTTCTGTTTTTGGGGATCCAGGCTATTCTCAAAGAGCTATTGCGTCGGAGCCTTCTAGTGTATTTTTCGGTTATTTGATGGGTGGCATTTGTTGGTGGATTATTCCATTTGCTCTTGGGCTGTCAACTGGTCTAGCATGTAGAGCTTTGTTAACGAATCCAGCTTCTATTACATATCCAAATGCTTTAAGTATAGAAGAAGCTAATAGTGGATTACCTGTTATTTATGGTATGGCTGCAATTTTTGGTAAAAGCGGTGCTGCTGCTGGGTTGGTTATGTTATTTATGTCTGTTACATCAGCTACATCAGCTGAGTTAATTGCGTTTTCTTCAGTAACAACGTATGATATTTATAGAACTTATATTAAGCGTGATGCCTCTGGAAATCAGTTAGTCAATGTTGCTCATATGTCAGTTATTGGATTTGGAATTGCAATGGGGGCATTATCGACTTTATTTAATTATATTGGTGTTACCACTGGTTGGTTGCTCAGTTTCCTTGGGATTATATTAACTCCTGAAGTTAGTGCTGTTTGTTTTACATTATTTTGGCCCAAGATGACCAAATTATCTTTAGTTATAGGTTGTCCATTAGGTACTTTAACAGGTATTGGATGTTGGATCGGTTCAACTTATCATTTCGCTGGTATTATTACTAAAGATTCATTAATGACGACTGAAGCTACATTTATTGGCAATATAACTTCATTGGCAAGCTCAGCTATTTATATTATTTTGATTTCACTCATTAAGCCGGATAAAGAATCATTTTCTATGGAATCGTTAAATGGGAATTTTATTCTCGGTGATGATATTGATGAAGAGAGTAAAGAAGCTGTTGCAATTAGTAATAAAGTTAAGAAAACTTTAACAAGACATTCTTGGTTAAGTTTGTTAAGTAATGCTTTTGTTCTTCTTGGAGCTTATATTATTGTTCCTGTTTCTCTATATGGGATAAAAAAAGATTTAACTAAGAGTTCATTCACTGCATTAATCATTATAATGTTAATATGGCTTTTACTTGCAGCCGGGTATATCATAATTTTCCCATTGTGGCAAGGAAAAGCTTCAATTCTTGTTATTGCTAAACATTTCCTTGGTAAATCAGACAAACCTGATGATCTTGATTCAGGAAGCTCTCAGTTTTCTGACGCCAGTGTTGAAGAAGCTGAAGTAACTCATATTACAAAAGTATGAGATGTGTAGTTTAATAATGTATAAATGTTTATGATTATAATATGTTGACTTTTATTTGTGACATTCAATGTAGTCAGTTGATATCACACCTCTGTTGAATGATATCACCTGTTCTTTAAAATTGAACTTGCATCTTCAGAAATTTGCCGGTTCCATGATGGCCCAGGTTAAAGTTATTAATATTGCTATATGTACCTAAATATCGGACTAGATGTGTACATGTTAGAGATTGTAATAATATCGTACTAAACTATAAATTGCTTAAAATAAAAAACAACTACACCAGTTTTATAGGAATATATAAATTTATTACTACTTTTCGATATTACCCCAACTTTGAATTTGGCATTATAGTCAACTCGATTTTCTCCACAGAACTAAAATTATATGTCACCTGCTGATATTAACGAACATTGCCAGATAACGTAGTTTAGCAAATAATGAGAGGAACAGGTTTTTGAGTACCTTTATATATATATATTCTTCGAATGGGAAATTAATTATATCCTTGTTGGAAAATTAATTGTTTACACCGCGAGGTCAAGCAGTGGCACCACCAGGTTCTGACCCTAGGTGAACGCTTTACTATCGCTTCAGCGGACTTAAGAAATTAAGTTTAATGATGTGTGAAAAATATTTAGCTTTAGACAGACAACAACTTACGTCCACCTATGACGACACTACAAATTTAGAGAAATTGACACTTAAAGGGATCAGCGATTAATTTTGATCCACCTTAAATGACATTGTAAGCTATTAAAATATCTTAGTTGGGTAGTCAATTCTCAGTGTTCAGTGCGGTGTTCATTGATAAAAGATCAGAAAGTAAGTAAGATACCAAACGCGATATTATATTAAATACGGATTAGAGATAAGGAAAAAAATATTCGTAATTATCTAATTCAATTCTGACTTTTAAATTCTAAAATTCCGATAGCCCTTTAGATATAATGAATGGTATTGTTAGATAATTCTAATTTATATATTTGTTTTTACTGAAAAGGAATATCATTGTTATTTTGAATTAAGAAAAAGAGTAAGGTATGGGACTGATGAGAAAAAGAACATCACTAGCCTGTGAAAATTGTAGGAAGAGGAAGATAAAATGTAGTGGTGGACCAGTCTGTCAAGAATGTGCTAGGTTTGGGTCTAGATGTTTTGTCAGATCTCAGTATCGAGCAACAAAGAAATCGATTGCTAGAGCACAATCGAGAGGAATTAAGTACGTACTAAGACTACAATTATACAAGAAGATAAAGGTATATACTAACAATCAAGGTCACCTATAGTAAATAAGGAAACCATAGAATTCCCTGATTTGCCAATTAGTGGTCAAAATAATATATCTGAATATTTTGGATCGACGAGTAATTTTTCGTTTGTAAATCAGCTAAATAACTTGTTACGGCCACTCCTGAATTCTGAATATGAAGAGCAGGGCAAAGTACAAGGATTAGAAAGATTTGGGATCAAGCCTACAATATTGGAGTATTCGTGGTCTTTTGATTTATCATTAGAAAATTTTAGTACTGAATCAATGAATAAATTATTAGTTGCATATCTAGAAACCTGGGCAATTCCAATACCGGTATTCAATGCAACTGAATTATTCACATTAGCATCAAAAACCTGGATGAATCCACACGCTTCACCAGAAGATAGAGCACTTCTTTATTTGGTCTTGTCTGCCGGAGCAGCAACATCATATTTTGATAATGAAGAAAGTAGCCCAAATGCATTCCCCGTAGCGAAAGCTTTCTATAATTTAGCTTTCCAGACAGTACCGACGATTTTTTCCAAAGTATCATTTGATTCGGTAAGAATTATACTTCTTATGTGTTTATGTGCTTGTTCTTTAGGAGATACGGCACTTTCATATACTTACATTGGATTTGCAATGAGAATTCTGTTAGCAATTGGGCTTCATAAAAATAATGTGGTTAAGGTCCTGTCTAATTCATTCGGAAGCAGTCATCATAAACGAGTATGGGCTGCTGTTTGGCAATTTAATAAATATTGGAGCTTTTCTGTGGGTAGGCCGAATGGGATAAGTGACAATGTGGGAGCACCATTAGTTAAAGAAGAAGATTTTAAGTATGATGGATATGGGGAACTGAAAGAATTTAAAATGACTGTTGAACATCTGAGAGTAAGAATCTGTTTTGCATCCTTATTACTGAAGATTGACGATGAATTATATAATTCCAAAAATGACCTTTTAACTATGGTCGGTATTATTGAACAATTTTCGTATGAAATTGATGACGTATATTTAAGTAGTAGTGACATGCAAATAATTCAAACTGATGTCACCGATGATGTAAAAAATTTAAGAAAGGAAAGAATCATCGAATGGTTTTGGATTAGAATCTATTATCTTTATATTAAATTAATCTTATTCCGTCCATTTTTAATTTTCAGTGCTTATCTTGACAACAATGGTACTCAAATTCCTGATTCTTTAAGAAATAAAATCGAAGCAGGATCAAAAAATTGTGTTGATGTTGCAATTGAATTATCAGACTTCATTATAAAACTAAATAATAAGGTTAGGTTAACTCAACCCATAGTTTTCATAAGTACTTATTTAGAAGGTACTTCCACTGTACTTTTATTTTATATTGTTAGTAATTTTGCTGATATTTCAGACAATATGGCTAGAAAATTATGGAAGGTACTACAAGACATCCGAGATTTCCTTAATGGTTCATATGGTTGCTACCTTGATACGACAAAAATTCTAGCAAGAGATGGATTAAATTCATTGTATAATGTATTAACATCAAGAAATATTGATAAAAATGATAGAAGTTTTACCTACCTTGATAAAATTATGGAACCTGTTATATCAACACGGCTGGGAAATGCAACACAAAATGCTGAAATTGAAGAAATTTGGCACAAGGCCCTAAATTCAGTAACCTTTTCATGATATCTTTGTGTTATATATATTCTATAAGTTATCCCCCAGGTTCGAAGTGTGTCTAGACCATTCGGCCATCAAATTATGTTTTGATAGTAAATTGGAATAGCGACTGATCTTCAAGGAAAGTGCAGGGTCGCAAGCTCGACTCTCCATATTACGTTCTTCACCTGAAAAGGTTTCCAATTTTGGACAGGAATCTTGAACTATACCCTGATCACTCTTAACAATAAGGCTAAGAACATATTGAAGAAATGATTAATGATCACTTATTTGCGTAGAAATTATCTATCGTAAGACATTTCGAATATACGACTGTATTCTTCTCTAATTACACATGCTTATTCGTTGATTGTATATGATTGATCTACATTAAACAAAATTATCAAATTACGAATAGTCGCCCTTCGACTCTAATCACCTATTGCTCAATTTCTCTACAGATTGGTCTTCCGTATCAGTACACTCCCACTCTGCTGCCATTGACTCAGACTCCCCCTCTAGACCAAACTCCGGCGTACAGTACGCCGTTTACACTCCGAAAATTACAATCAAAAATAAATTTCTTTTCAAGATCGATAACTCAGGGCTTCGTAACGACTTCCCCCCTACTGTTATAACTAAGTCCTAAAATAAATTCGATGACATAACCCAAGAGAAATGTAAAAAGAAACGGAATGAGTCGCAGAAAGTCACTTCCGGTAGAAGCTGATGACTAGTGTATGTAGCAACGTATTATAGTACGATTGTTGGGCTTCACTAGTAGAAATGCGAGAAGACCGTAGAACAAGTAAGCAGAAAAAAAGTATTTCTGTGAGATGCGAGGGCATTTCCGGTCGGTCCAACAGTACTTAGTAGGTGACTTCATGATGACATCATTAGACATTCGGATTAATTGATCAAAATTATATTTTTCAGGTATAAATAGGGTGGACTTGGCCGTAATTAAACACGAATTCTTCTATCAGTAATTACTTTAGAAACATACTAATACAAACAAAAATGAGTACTACACCATACAATATCGAAAAGCCATTCAGAGTTGCCATCATTGGATCTGGTAACTGGGGTACTGCTGTCGCAAAGATCGTTGCTGAAAACACAGCTGAAAAGTCAGAAGTGTTCGAAAAACAAGTCAACATGTGGGTTTTTGAAGAAGAAGTTGACGGACAAAAGTTGACTGAAATCATTAACACCAAACATGAAAACGTTAAATATTTACCAGAAGTCAAGTTGCCGGAAAACTTGGTTGCAAACCCAGACGTTGTTGACACCGTCAAGGGTGCTGATTTATTAATTTTCAACATTCCACATCAATTCTTACCAAGAGTGTGTAAGCAATTAGTTGGCCATGTTAAGTCCACTGCCAGAGCCATCTCTTGTTTAAAGGGTTTGGAAGTCGGTCCAGAAGGTTGTAAGTTGTTATCGCAATCCATCAACGACACCTTAGGTGTCCACTGTGGTGTCTTATCTGGTGCCAACATCGCTAACGAAGTTGCCAGAGAAAGATGGTCTGAAACTACCATTGCCTACAACATCCCTGAAGACTTCAGAGGTAAGGGTAAGGATATCGACGAATACATCTTAAAGAAATTATTCCACAGAACCTACTTCCACGTCAGAGTTATCAATGATATCATCGGTGCTTCTTTTGCTGGTGCTTTAAAGAATGTCGTTGCATGTGCTGTTGGTTTCGTTATCGGTGCCGGCTGGGGTGACAACGCTAAGGCCGCTATCATGAGAATTGGTATCAGAGAAATCATCCACTTTGCTTCTTACTACCAAAAATTCGGTGTCAAAGGTCCAGCTCCAGAATCTACCACTTTCACTGAAGAATCTGCCGGTGTTGCTGATTTAATCACTACCTGTTCCGGTGGTAGAAATGTTAAGGTCGCCAGATACATGATCGAAAACAATGTCGATGCTTGGGAAGCTGAAAAGATTGTCTTAAAGGGTCAATCTTCTCAAGGTATCTTAACTGCTAAGGAAGTCCACGAATTGTTAACTAACTACAACTTGAGTGCTGAATTCCCATTATTCGAAGCTACCTACAGAATCATTTATGAAAATGCCGATGTCAATCAATTCCCAGTCATCTTAGAAAGAGATTAGAGAATTCTCTTGAAATCGCTTGTATATTAGAATGCTTGATTTTTTATATTTTATAGAGGAATTTAATAAGTTATTATTTACTATTAATCATTTTAATCCTGTAGATCTCGTATAGCGTAAATCTTGCTCGCTTGATTGCGAGTGACGTTTTGATTTTTGTATACAGGGGTCTATTCGTTCTTCCACTAGAATAACCCCATACTTTTTAAGTGTTTTCCATAATGCCTATCACCTCCGAAGAGTTGTTCTTAATAAACGTCAGGACGTATCAGGCTGCTAACTATCTGAGCCCACTGCATTCAATTTGGCACAAAGTTCCCGTTGCCAGAAGATCAGCAGTCTTTGTATTGCTCTTTTTGGGTAATATGGGCGAATTACGAGTGATCTTGACGAAAAGGTCTTCTAAACTAAGAAGCTTTCCGGGTCATATTTCATTGCCAGGTGGAAAGGCTGATAGTGGACTTGAGACTGAATGGCAGGTATCCAGAAGAGAAATGGAAGAAGAAATCGGGTTGGAAGCTAACAATGACAAACTCATGAAACACTATGGATTCACGATTGATCACTTAAATCTACTCCCATGCTACCTATCAAGAACATTCCTGGCAGTCAAGCCTTGTGTGGGATTTATGAACTTATCGGGTCAGCACGAGCAAGAGCAGGAACTTTTTGGGAATTTGAAGTTGAACTTGAATCCGGACGAAAGCTCAAGTATATTCTCGTGCCCATTGAAAGACTTTTTATATCCCTCGACAAAATCACCTTCTAAGGAGTGTATTAAGAGACAGTTTTTCAAGATTGACTGGGGCGGCATACCATGGAATTTACGCTCTTATACCTTTCCGTATGCGAACGACAATGAGATAAGTTGGTTACGTGAAATTAATGACACGTCTATGTCCTCAGAAGAAGACGATGAAATAAACCCTTCTATGCAAGAGAAAGCTAAGGCTATGCCCAAGAGAGATTTATCTACTTGGGGGCGTCTTGGTACAAGACGTGATTCAGATACAGATCTAAAAATTAATGATGTATGGGGATTGACCGCAAACATACTCCATGATCTAGCACAGATTGTATACTGCCAGCCTACTGTCTATAAGAATAAAACATTTGGAGAAGAAGAACTCATCAACAGTATTTTTACGTATGGGAATCTCATGCAATCGAAGGAAAGATCTGAAGAAGAGGTAAAGCTTATTCATAGTAAGACAATTAATGAAGAATTTGGGTTTAATAGCATCTTGCCGAAAGATGAATTCCTTAGATTGAAAGAAATATATAGGCATTAGCTAAGTATTTATTTTTCAGTAGATTAAAAAGTTGATATATTAGATTAGGAAAAGTTATTTCTGCGAAACAGTAATCTGATCTTCGCTAGGTTTTTATTAACTAAATGTCGAATTCAATTGATAAGATTACATCGATATTTGAAGACATATCAGTAAAGCAAGAAGACTCTGTTGATGAGGACTATAAATTAATATCAAAGTCTGAGACATCTTTGTCGCCTATAGATGATAAAACTATTAGATTACTTGAACTAATTGACGCCTATGAGAAATTAACTAATGAAAATAGATTAAACTACATAAATGGGTTTCTTCATTTGAGTAGAGCTAATTACAATAATGGGTCCTTAAGCAAGAAATTTGGGCCTGACTCTTTCGATTTAAGGCCATATGGGGCTTGCAAACAAATACAAGTTAAAGATAAGTTTGAATTAGTAGACTTATTGAAAGCACAAAAAGATAAGAGTGAACAAGCAAAAGATATAAGTGGACAAGCAAAAGAAACCAATGAAAAGAAAGAAACAGATGTAGAATCAACATTGAAGAATAGAAAAACCAAAAAAGTTGAGAAAGAAAAGGAATTCGATAACATAGATGACATAGAATCCCAAAACTCAAAATTGAAAGATCCCATTTCTCAATTTGGTGGTTTAGTTCCATATCAGCTTAAACAATCGCAAGCTTTTTTTGGTAACTGTTTGGATATATCCATAAAGATAATAAATCTACAAAGAGAAATAAAAAAATTAATTGAAGATATTGAAGAAATATCTAAATAGAATGTATATAATTTTATCATAATTACTCAACGTCACTATATAAATCGCTGTCATTTTCGTAATCTTCTGCTTTGATCTCTGGTGCATCGCTTTCGCTATCACTGTCGGACATAGGTTCGTCTTTTCCTTCTTCACCTTCTTCACCGTTTTGTCTAGCTTTTCTTCTTTCCTTCTTAGCCTTCTTTTTTTCTTCCTTCGCTTCAACATTAGCTTGTTGTTTAGCTCTTCTTTCGGCCTTCTCTTTTAATCTCAATTCATGCTTTTTATTTAATGCCTTCTGTTCGACTTCAGACTTACTGATCTTGGCGTGGTAAAGTGTCTTTGATGATCCAGTTAAATTCTCTTCAATCTTCATTAATGTCATATTTATACGAGGACCAAGTTCTGTAAGCTTGATAGCCCTCTTACGAGTTTGAGGACTATCAGTATCTTTAGGATCAGCAGCCGTTTTCTTTTTAAGAACGTTTGCTTCTTCGTTATTTTTAATTTCTACAATTGCATCGTCTTCTACTTCGGAATCCGAAGTTATGCCACCAACGGAATATGGATCCAACAACAAATCAGACACATCATTGTTTGCTGATAAGTTAGGTAAAGACTTCTTTAAATTATGATGAGAGTTAAGTAATTTCTTAACATTACGACTTCCGTCAACTAATTTTGTGTCTATAGCATAATGTCTTAATTCTATTTCCTCTGTTTCTGGGTTCTTGTTTATCATCAAAACTCTTTTGATGGACGATACTTTCGTCAGTTGTGGTTGAATTGGGGGAAACATGTTCTGAAATACTGTAATTAATAATTTCTCGTGGTTTTCAACTTCATTCAACTTATTCAGAAACCCATTTAAAACAAGCAATGGTGGGCTCAAGAATTCTGGCGAATCCTTTCCTACGGACTTTGGATGTTTCAATATTCTACTCACATCCTTAATCAATGAATAGTTGTTAATTCTGAACTGCAATGTTGGTCCCCTAGGCATTTTTCCAATTCTCAATGATATACTTCCTGTTTCTTCAGACTGGTTGAAAACAAATAAGTCTGAAACACCTAAAGGCCCAGCCATGACAATGAAATCCTTCAACTTATTTGATTTTCTCTCCCTTAAATTAATGGCCGTATGTGGTTGCATGACATTTCTGAAATCCTTAACTAACTGACTTAAAGAATGATTTCTCAATGATGATCCCAATCTAATAACCATAGACCTAGGTATCTTGGCTAATTCTTCCTCAGAAACCTTCTTATGGGTTCTGGTCTTTTGTCTTCTCTTTGCCATACTCCTATTTAGCTATTTTAATCAATCTGACTGTTTGAATTACTATATATCTAATGAAAATTTTATATATATAGTACCTCATCTCTTACAATAATATTTTGTGTGCAGAATTTTTATTACCAAAAAAAAATATATATATATCAAAAAAAAAAAAGAATCTTATCTTAGTAAGAAATAACGGTTCAGCAATAAGTGATAATGTCTGTTAAAGTGGATGGGATAGTCAAAAAGAAGGCTAAGAGTCATAGTAAGAAACTTGATGCTAGAGCATTAGCTGATAAAATTAAGAAAAATGCGTTAAAGCAGCAGAAGGAAGAAGAGCCTGCTAAAGAAGAAAATGTAGCTGACGATGCTGAAACTATCGTTGATCCAACAGCAGAATTGAAATTTAAGTCATTCAGCGAATTAAAATTGATTCCAGAGTTGTTGGAAGCTATTGAACAAATGAAGTTCACTAAACCAACACCCATTCAGTCCGAGGCCATTCCACATGCACTCGAAGGCAAGGATATTATTGGACTTGCACAAACAGGTTCAGGTAAGACTGCAGCATTTGCAATTCCGATTTTACAGGCATTATGGGAAGCACAATCAGCATATTTCGGGTTAGTATTAGCACCTACTAGAGAATTAGCGTATCAAATCAAAGAAACGTTTGATGCGTTGGGATCTTCAATGGGATTGCGTGCCGTTTGTATAGTTGGTGGTATGGACATGATGGATCAAGCAAGGGACTTAATGCGTAAACCGCATATCTTGGTTGCAACACCTGGTAGAATCATGGATCACTTGGAACACACGAAAGGGTTCTCTTTAAAGAATTTGAAATACTTGGTAATGGACGAAGCAGATAGATTATTAGATATGGATTTCGGGCCAGCTCTTGACAAGATCTTGAAAATTATTCCAACCCAGAGAACAACTTACTTGTTCTCAGCAACAATGACCAACAAAATTGCCAAATTGCAAAGAGCTTCTTTACATAATCCCGTAAGAGTTGCCGTTTCTAATAAATACCAGACTGCTGATAACTTAGTTCAATCCATGATGTTGGTGAGTGATGGTTACAAGAATACATATTTGATTCATTTGTTAAATGAATATCTCGGCAAATCAATAATCATTTTTACAAGAACTTGTGCACATTCACAGAGAACTGCCTTGTTGGCAAGAATATTGGGCTTTTCGGCAGTCCCATTACATGGACAATTAACTCAAGCTCAAAGATTGGGATCGTTAAATAAGTTTAAGTCAGGTAAAGCTAACATTTTAATCGCAACTGATGTTGCTGCAAGAGGTTTAGATATACCATCTGTGGATATTGTCATAAATTACGATATCCCAACTGACTCAAAGGCTTACATTCATAGAGTGGGTAGAACTGCGCGTGCTGGAAAGTCTGGTAAATCAATTTCCTTAATCACTCAATATGATTTGGAAATGTACTTAAGAATTGAAAGTGTCTTAGGCAAAAAGTTACCTAAGGATCCAGCTCCGCCTAAAGCTGTCTTGGACACATTACATGTTCATGTTGACAGAGCAAGCGCAGAAGCTATCAGACAAACTAAAGATTTCCATGAAAAGAGAAACCCAAAGAAGAATCGTGATGACAGAGATCGTGAAGAACGTTAAAATATCATCATTTACGACCATATCCCTGCATTATTTAGTATTTAATTACATTAATATATGAAAACATAATATAAAATTATATACCAAATCACAATAAATAAGAATTGAAACAAAATCTACATAAAGAGTAAATAACCAGCCATATTAACCCAAACCAACCATAGCTTCTCTCAAGTACTAGTACAAAAGATAATTCAAAAAAACTCAACAAAAAATAAAATCATTAAATGAAGGTGTCAACTATACATCATTGATGTAAGAAATGAACAGGACATTCACCGTAGCCTTTCTTATTAAACCAATCTTTAATGCATTTATAATGAAAGACACACAAACATTCCAATCTACCAACCTTATCACCAGGTTTTAATTCTTCCAAACAAATAACACACTCGTTATCCACTGAGTCATCAAGTAACTGCTTTTCTGAGCCCGGTTGAATAGTCAAGTTTGATGTCACGGAGCCAACAACCTCATTGCGATTCTGAGCTTGAAAGTCACCTTCATCCTCAATTTGCGAATCTATTGGAGAATGAATCGAATTCAGGTGAAGACGGAGTGTATCATATGAGTTACCTTCAGCATTTGGTATTGTTTCATACTTCGGTCTAGGGATTGGCGGCATGTTATAAACAAGCATTTTGTTACGTTTATGGGATCTCTTCTTACTTTTAACCGGGGAGTTTGGTCTGTCACCATTGAAATCAAATGCAATTAAACAGTCATTAATATGAGATTCTTTGTACGATTCAAACTCATCACAATCAATATCCCCCTTCCCTTTCTGAAAGTGTGTCATATAGTCCTTCAACAAGTTACTTGCACATACAGGGCATAAATTGTCATCACTTGCCCCATCCTCTTGTAATCTCCTGCGGTAATTGCATCCACTATGAGGCAAATTGGCGCACGACGAATGCGTTGATGACCGTACTAATCGAGTACTAGTTCTTGTACTATACTTTGTAGTACTGTTATTATCTATCAGAGGGTCTTCATTTCCCCCATCCCCTTCATTATTAGGTACATTTTCTGCTTCATTGTTTGTTCTTGTATCCGGATCAACAATATTAGAACGGGCTTCATATAGGGCCCTCCTAATCATTTTCACTTCCGCAACACACTCATCGCATGTTCTGTATGTTTCAAGAGGAACCAGGCATTCCGGCTCCTGTTGAGGGTTAGCGATCAATGTATTTGGAAAGTACTTGATCGCTTGTTCCGAACAATTCCCACAGACGACCCTTCCACATTTGCGGCAATGATGCCTTCTATGGAAAATTGTATAATTCAAATCGCATAAAAAGCATGATGAGACCTCTGTATCTTCCTGCCAAAGAGGGCCGTTATCAGATCTAGACATACTGTTTATTGCATTTAATTATCTTGTAAGTATTGTATTCTTATAAATCTGTTGATAACATTCATCTACTCATATTGGTCCATGGACGACCGCCACAATAAAATGTTTAAATTTACTCCATACGAAGACTATAATAGATACAAGTAGTCCAAAGATAAATAAAGGGTGTAATCGTCATGACGGACAGGCTTACTCAATTACAGGTGTGCTTAGATCAATTGGTCGAACAATTTAATGCTACAGTCAACTATGTTAATACCAATAGTGAACCTGGGTTATTGGATGAAGATCCGTCGTCGGTGTCAAATTTAGCTGCTAATGCACCAATCCCAGGTGTTCAGCAGCAGCCATCACAAGGTAGTGGGAAGGGAAGCAATAAACAGACAAATGCTGGAAATAGTGTGTCAAACCAACCGTCAGCCAAAGCAGAGGCCGAGTCGAATTTTGAGAATACAATCAATGAGTTGTCTACAGACATAATACTCAAGTCAAGACAGATAACGATGCTTATTGACTCGTTGCCGGGAATTGGTGTGTCGCCTGAAAGCCAATTGAATATGGTGGAGGACTTAGCGAAACAGTTGGAAGAAGTAGAGAAAGAGAGAATCAAGAAAATTGAAGAGAAAGACAAGTTGTTGAAGTGGTGTGAGTCGTTGATAGTAGAAGTAGCGACGGGCATTTCCGAAACTAGGGAATAGCTTCACTACAAAATTGCATGATATGAATTAATTGTTTATTAAAATCTATAGAGGGGACCATGTACTGTTTAGTGGGTGTATGTCATACAATTGAAATCCCACGATGGAAACCATTTGGCATGGTTGCACTCACTTCTACTCCAGTCTAACCCATATATTATTGGAGTAAACGTTACGAAACAGTAAATAGCCAATAATGAAATAGAAAACATCCACAAGTATCCAAATACTTTTCTCTTAGTCACTTGGTATTCAGTATACTGGGCAATGACCAAAATTGAGAAGAACAATGAACTAAGATAATGATGTAAGAACAATTGTCTCGACATCTGGTAAGATGGAAAGTAGTGTAACATCCATCCAAGAACGAATTCAAGCCCATTCGACTGCAAGGTCGATATAAAGGGAGGATCATATGGCAAACCAAAGGGATTCATAATCTTGAATAAATTGATTATGTTCTTTGTGATCACAAGAGAAACTAGTATAAACCCAATGTAATATATAGCAACGTTACCCAATAAATAAATGTGACTTCCATCTTCATCGTGCAATTTATCAGACGATCCGGCTTCATTACTGAAGAAGTTGATTCCTCTTAACAAAAATGGCCAGGATTCTGGACCTGACGAATAAGGATGTTTATCTGTAAAGCTTTTGTTAATTCTCCACATCGCAAAATGATATTCAATTAATTTGTCAAAGAACGAATAGTTCTTAAAATGCACCCTTTCGTATTCACTATTATTGTCAAGTACAGGATGAGAATTGCTTTCAATATACCACATGGTGTTAGGAATCGTTGGTTGGTCAATACATAAAACTTCATTCTGGTTAAATCCCCAACCTGGTAACTTGTCTTCATGAGCGATTACAACACATCCTTTAGCACGGTGAACCAACTGAAAAATAGTCTCTGTTGCTCTGAGTTTAATCATAGGAAGATTCAGAGTAGAATGGCTTTCACTTTTAATTATTCTTATCTTGAATTCATACTCTTCATTGCCTAACATATCACGATCACCTGAGCATGCCACTTCGTTGGAATAATCTCGTTCTGAAATTGGAGGTTTTTCGTCATTAACAGTAAGATATTTTCCTGTTGACTTATGGTATAACCTCACAATATCACCATCTTTGACTGCTTTGAATTTTCCTTGCAATTGGCCGAGTGGACTTTTATTCTTGGTTTCGATAATCCATTCATTGTTTTCATCCGGATTGAATCCATAAAGCGTAACTTGCTGCTGATGCGAACCGGTGTAGTATGTGTGGTCATGGGAATGCAAATAGCTTTCCATGTTTTTATGTTTAATTGTAACTGTGCTACCATATGAGACCTCCACTGGGGTGTTTCTGAAATCTTGAGAATCTTGGAATGTGGCCTTGAAACTTGGCGAAACTGCACCAGATCCAGGTCCATTGAATGGAAGATTTATAAAATGAATAGCAAAACAACCCAAGTAGATCGTCATAGGAACAATTATCAACCCAAATACTCTAAAATATACATGTTTAAACCATTGTCTATCGGAAACTTCCAAATCACCGAGATAGCTCCATAATTGAAATATAGTCAATATTCCGACCCATGCGACCGTAAATAGACCAGTCAATTTAATAGACATCGTAATACCTAAACCTATACCTGTCATCATTAAGAATTTAAACCATCTCTTTGTAAATGGTTCTGCCAATTGAAATCTTTTGAACCCCAAAACAGAGAATGCCACTCCAAATATCAATGGGCCATCAAGCATTATCAATCTTGATTGGGTAACTAGGGAGTTTTCAATTAAAACTAGCAATGCACCAAAAAATGCCACTGCTGATCTACAGTTAGATGCTCTTAGAATTCCATAGGTGAGTACAACTGACAACACTCCACAAATACCTGAAAACAACCTCATTGCCACATAAGGAACATTATCATCAAATTTATCTCCTATCTCAGCAAATTCAAAATCTCCATTCCATCCACACAAGATTGCAATCGCATAGTACACTAGCTTGGCTAACGGAGGATGTACATCAACAAAAAATTCTCCTGTGAAATAACTCCTTGCATATCCACCAAAATGGGTTTCATCAAATATAACCTTATTAGGATATGGAATATTATACAATCTAATTAGAACGCAGAGACCTAACAATAAGAAGATCAAAAAATGATCGAATCTTGTAATAGCCGTCCTTTCAATTGTTAGGGATGTTGGGCCCGCAACATGAAATGGTCTCCACTTTCCCGGTTTATAACCTGGTGGTAGCTTCAGTTTTTCCAGTTTATATGAAGACATCTTGCCTGAACTGGTTCGTTCAATACGGTAGCTAACATGTATTGAAAAATATCTACCATATATAACAAAATGCACGTGCCTGAAATTTCACTTAAATTATAAGCCTTGGAGCTGTAGAGTAGTAACCCATATAAATGCCTCTATTAATTATCTCTATGAATCAATAACCTACGTATAACCCGCCACCCCTTTCATCTAATGTGTCAACTATATAGGAAACATATTCAGACTTTGGATCCCAGCCTAGTTTTGCAGTACATCGAATATTCTTTAAGAATGGTAGTCTATCTTCATTTATTGCAATTGCCAAGTCAATAGGATCCAATTTGGTTGACGTACCAAGCATTCCACTACTCTCTATATATAATGTTCTTAACGGTCTTGGATATGTCAAATAAGACAAATTCTCTTCGTCAAAAAATGAGCTGGAAACGTAATCGACTGAGATTTCCAACACGATTAAATTGGGGCAATAGTTAAAAACTAAATCCATGGCATTTTCCTTCAATCCAGGCATTGGATACTGAATCTTTAAGGAAGTCAAATTTTTCCCGAACTTGAATAATAAATTGTGTAAGCCAAAGTTCTTTATTGCCGGGCAATGCGCAAATTCCAACTGGGTTATTGTAGAGGGAAATTCTGATTGCATCAAAAATTCGTCAGTTATGCCACCTGAAAGCCGTAAAAATGATAGTCTGGAAGGCCAGTGAATGCTCTTGAAGTCGTGTATTTCAATTGATGATCTTGGAAATGACAAATGTGTTAATTCATCTAAACTGTTAATTGAGTTGAACAATTCTACCAAATTCAAAGTTTCTGATACGAGTCTTAAATCTAAAACTTTCAATTTCGTACAATTTTTTAATGCTATTAATGGCCCTAGTCCAAAACTTGTTTGTGGAGCGACGAATACTTCTAAGTTTGCTCTAGATCTCTTTAGCAACTTTGCAACGAAGGCATTTTTACCTGTCTGAATAATGTATGAAAGATCTAACTCTCGAATATTATTGCCTATGGTTTTGTTGGACGATATTGTATCGACAAAGGCGAAAAAATTAGTTGCTTTCAAAGTAGGCCTCCTATAAATCATTGGGAGTGCTATTAGATAAAATAACTTACAAACCCTGAGGTATTTTGGCTTCAATTTCCCTTTTGCCTCTAGAATTTCAAGAATATAAACTATTATTTCCACTGGTAGCTTCATCATTTTCAGGGCTGATTCAAATTCCTCTTTACGAATCTCCATCGTCCTGTTAAAATCTTCGTTTCCATTGTTAATACAACACTTCAAAACATCAACTTTTTCAAACTGAGATCTTGGCCAAATTTTATTTTTAAAATTCTGTTGATTCGTTAAAACATAAACAGAATTTATGTTCAAATTCGTGTTTGTATTAAAGTCCTCGTAGTTTCCATTCTGATCTTTGGATTTCAATGTGTTTTCTTCTTCTTCGTTTTCGTGGTCCTCGTCACTGCTATTTATTTCCGTGAAATTAGACTTATAAACGTACCTCCTATACGGAGGACGTATTTTCTTAGATCGTCTTTTATTAGCTATTTTGAAAGGTGTATGTCACTTTTACAGAAGACTAGATCGGAATGTTACTATTTACAGGTTCATAGATTCTTCTGCTGAGATGATAAAGAAACAAAATTATTTAAATTCATCCTACAAATCTATCATTTTAAGATCATGCCCCTGGTTTCGAGCGATGATGCGATAACATTTTTTATTTCTATACTAAATGCTGCAAATTTATTTACTCTTCATCATACAATCTCACGGGCGTGAATAGACTGTTTTCTGGAAGCGCTTTTAAGTCATAATACCTCAGCAATTTATTAAGTACCATTCTTCTAGCTTTCAAATCATAATTTGCCTTATCAGATTCTATTTTGGTTTTATTTTTGCCAAATCTTGTAGCATTTGGAGATAAATGGAATTGCTTCATTGCTAAAGAGGGTCTTGATTCTGGCTCTCTGTGATCAATGCTTTTAATACTTCTTGTCCCTCTAGAACTCTTTATCTTTGATTTTTGACTTATGATAGGATATGCAATAAATATATGGTAGAATATTTTGGGAAAGAACGATAATACAGCCACGTAAAATCTAAAAATATTGAAAGGAATTTTGAAACAAACTAGAGTTACAAGATTTTTCAACCTTTCTAAGGGTGATAAATAAGTATTTACGATTGAGTCAAATTTTTCCGTTGTTAGAAAAAAGTTCTTTGTTAGGAGTTCCCACATAAGACTTTTGAGTAGCTTAGTGGTTGCTCTATAGCTTTCTATTTGTTCCTTGCCAAAACTCATTAAAAGAGGCGTAATCTCTGAATGAAGAATTTGCTTTGTTGTCAATGGATCTTTAATCAAATCAATAACGGAAATATTTTGTAAAATATTTTTCACTATTAGCTTCAATTTAATTAATATGTTATAACTCTTCTCTTCCATATTACACGTAATACCCAGCTGCTCGGACCCATACCCCACTAGCTCGTTTATTCTATTATCTAGTATACTTTCTTGAGCATAAGGTATGGTACTATCTTCATAGACTAGATTCCTGGTAACTAAATTTTTTATCGATGATGAGAATGGTAGACCATGCAATGAAAAATGTCCCCTATCCTGCTCCTTATATTTGTCGTCATTTCGGCTTTCTTCATCAAAGTAATTTGAATTATAATCCGAAAAATTTTCTATATCGGATTGCTTTATATCTGTCTGATTCAGCTGTGGTTGTTCGAATATAGATTCAGTAAAAGATGATATGTTTGTAGAGCTAGAATTCAGTTTTTGAGGCCTAATCTGTTTTGAAATGTTGTCTGAGAACTTCTCTTGTTTATCAACCATATCTCCTATCATTTTATCAATATCTTCGCTTCTAGCTTGTACTTTCTTTCTTTTTAATTCTATTAATTCTCTATTTATTTGACTATCTTCTGCTCCATGATCTTCTTCTATATCTGATTCTTCAAATATTGTATGCATTGGTTGCTTGTCATTGTTCAACAATGGTGGTAAGGACAACCGTTTGTAAGACTTTTGTGGTAGCTTATTTTCAGAAGATAAATTTAAAGGAAACGGCTTTAAAAAAATAGACCTTTGGTTTCCCAAGTCCTCGTGTTTATGATTATTCATTTGGCTTACTGATTTCTCGAGGTTTGTCAATGTCATATTAATCCTAGAATACTCATTGGCCTGTGTAATTAATAGATTCTGGATTATTTCATCTTGCCTATCTGTTTTCTCCCGTAGTACTTCTAAATTCTGTTTATAGCGAACAATGCCATTTTCAGGCGTTGGACCTAATTTTCCAGTACTAATTAGACTGCCAAACCCATTCATTAATCCACTCATTTTATCATGATCATCACTTGAAGAGCTTGAAGGTGAAAGCAAATCCACATGGCCCTTCTTCGATCCAGATTTCAAAAGATCTTTGGAGATCTTTTCTTGAATATCATCTACCGTGTGTTTCTGTAACCGGTCAGTTAAAATTAAGACCAACCTAAATATCTCCAAAAATAAAAATAGCATGATATTTAAATTACTGAAAACCAATCGTCTGCGTGTATCTTCTATATTGATATAATTTCTAGAACATCTCATGATCCCAGCCCCCATGCAAGTACATGCAAAACACAACAGAAGAGAATAGTTTTCAAATTTAGAAAGCTTCTTGAAGGCCTTGACCTTTTTGGTGAGAATCTCGCTGTTCACCTCTTCCGTCGTAGACACTCGGTGAACAAATGCATTAGTACTTTCCAAAAGCTTATCTTGTGCCTCAATTATATTTTTGTGCCAATTCCAAGGCCATTCTATCGTAAAGTTGATAAACCAACTCACCAAAATAACCATGAAGCTGTCAGTCACCAAATTGGCCACATCGATGCTCGTACGACCGTTATCATCTCCTGAAGGAGTCAATATCCCAATTATGGATGGTAGTAATATCACCACCAATGCAAAGTACTTGATAACCCCACGATCTATCTTCGAATCGGATTTCTCCATCTGTTTGAACGGCGACAAAATGGCCTCTATGTCCGAATTGAATATGTCAATTTCCTTCTCATAATCTTTACCTTTCAGACTCACCCTCTGTTTGTTCTTTGGGCTCCCTGATCGTTCCATTTTCTTCTGATGGTATAATTGTCTTTCGTTGTTTGTATTCCCCTTGTTTTTGACGCTTTGGCCATTAATCGAGGCGCTTGTCTCCTTTTTGTGCCTATTACCCTCTATCAGCTTCTCTATAACTAACGATTTATCTTTTACTTCATTAGCGTCCATCCAAAAGCCTATCATTGCTATTTCATTCGGTGACACTCATTCTGACGCTATGAAGATAGTAACACATTTATACAAAAAATGCCACCTCTAGCCGTTTTTGCAACCCAAAACGTTAACTTCCTAATGAGGCAATAAGTCTGTTTGTTTTCACTATTGGTATTATCTTGTGATCATTTGCCATTTTTTCGGTGTGCCGGATATTAACACAAAATCAAAGTATTTCAAACGAAAATTTTTTCTCCCTAGTATAAGATTAGACATTTAATATAATTAATTTAGTGATAAATAGATAATTACAAAGTAAAATGGTTTTAGTTCAAGATTTATTACACCCTACTGCTGCTTCCGAAAAGCAAAGCCACAAATTGAAAACATTGGTTCAACAACCAAGATCATACTTTATGGACGTTAAGTGCCAAGGATGTTTAAACATCACCACAGTTTTCTCTCATGCTCAAACCGCCGTCAGTTGTGACAATTGTTCTACTGTTTTATGTGCTCCAACTGGTGGTAAGGCTAAATTGACCGAAGGATGCTCATTCAGAAAGAAGTAAATTTGTTCATAAGAATTTATGAATCGCATGACATATTCCTTGAAGGGTAAATTTGACATTAATGTATAATAGAGATCTTGGTTTGTTAATTGAGGGTCCGGTATTGACTCTATTCCTTGAGACGACTGAAAGTTAGAGCTATTGATAGTTCTGGAACAACGTTCTATAGATAAACATATATGAATTCGTAGTATATAGTTACCAATAAATTGTTTTGTTCTTTAGACATATACTGTGATATTGCTATTTACAGGATGTATAAATCTCTACCTATGTACGTAATATGCGACTAGGGCCCTCTATTTGCCATCATAATCTGTTGGATTGACAGTAAAGCCCGCCTTTTTCCCTTTGGTTTTATATTTCTTAGAAGATTCCAACGAAGTTGCTAGGGAGTCAGCAAAAGTGACGATGTCGTCTTCGAATGCATTTTCAGAAGAGCTAACAATCTTCTTGAACTTCTTCTTTCTTTGCTCCTTCAAGAAAGTTTTCTTGTGAGCTTTAGAGAGAAATTCTAGCTTTTCTCTCGCCTTATCAGAAATCTGATTTTTCACGATAACACTTTTCTTCCCTAACGCCCATAAGTCACCTCTATCTGCTTTTCTAGCATCATGGTAGATTTGTTTTCCCAAACTCTTAGGTACCTGCCAAGTCTCAATATTCGCTGATGGTGCACATACATTCAATTTCACATTATTCTTGATTTTGGTAGGATTATCAATAACCCTGGGCCAGTTTGTAGGATCAAATAAATCTAATTTATTTGAAGTATTATATTCACGGTCGCTTTCAATTTTTTTAATTGTTTCAACATCATTTAGAGCTCTTTCAGCAATTAAATAGGAAAACGACCCCGATTCAGTGTTTCTGCCTGATGGTCTACCTGAACCTTCTAAGTTCTGTAAGGTCTTCTTTGAAAGTTTATCAATACCAAATCCATCTTCGGAAGATTTATCCCATGCAGTTGATAACCTACGCCCCTTTTTTAATTCCATGGTATACTTTGGTCTTTCAACTGTCTTATTGAAAGAGCAGAAATTTAATCTGTGTTTGTGAGATGGAATTTTATAATACTTTGGATCGCCTAATTGCAACGGGCACTTTCCATGATGAGGACAGGGGGCTATTATGCTTAAATGGAAATCAACACTTTCAGTGCCTAATTTTGGTTCTTCTTCTACAGGAATAACTTCAAAATCCTCGCTATCCTCCATCTCGAATTTTAAATCTTTTTCACTAGGTTTACCATATCTATCATTCAATTCTTGCTCAAACGCTTCATCTTCTCTTTCATACTTCGCAAGTAATTCCTCTTCAAATTTTATATCATCCTCAGATATAAGCTGATCATCCTTTTTTAATTTTTGTGGTTTTAATTTTGATCCTTTGATATATGGTCTTGGAATTTTGCCAATTTCGGTTTCATAAGATTCAGGTCTAATCATAATCTGCCTAGCCCTTGCAATTGTTTCGAATCCCAATGCATTACCTCTTTCGACTAGCACTAAATGCCCTCCGGGACTCAACAATTTCAAGATCATATGAATATTAATGTCTATATCTCTTGGAAAATTGAATTCTCTGGTTAATAAAGCTTGGTTTACAATAATTAAGTCATATTTTTTAGTTACTGGTAATGAATCTCTTAGTTTGGTCTTAAGCTTAATATCTGATGTGAGAACAGGTCCAATGTATTCCTCTTCTTCCAATTCTCCTTCGTTTTCTTCCATTTCTTGTGTTTCTGATTCTACTTCTTTTCGCAGTTCCCCATCTTCTTTCACATTCTGTTCTTCACTTATATCGTTAGTTACTTCTTCCTCGACTTCTTCTTCTTCTGTAAGGTTTTCATTAATTTGACGTGACAAGATGATCTTAGCTCGTTTTTTCATCTCAAAATTATTTCTACCAACAATGTACGCATCTTTCTCATCAGGAATATAATCATTGCCCATTATTTCATTCAATGCAACCATACCTGTAGCTGGCCCATATCCAATATCAAGAACACTCTTTGGGTTGAACTTATCCTTTCCGACCCGTTTCTGCAATTCTAGCAACACTTGGTGGACGTGTGAATAATCTTGCAAAAATAAAGCTGCAATATGTGCATCACAATCTAAAGCCGTTTCTGGTGCATTTTGAATCTGGTCTTTATTCAAGCTTTGATATATCTTTGCTGCCTTTTCTCTAAGTCGATCTGGGTATACCAACCTTAAGATGTTGTTGTTGATACAATTTGCAATCTCATACGGTAATATCGTAACCCTCCTATCACTTCTTCCCACCAACGTCAAATCGTGTAGTCTAGCTTCTTCTGCAGTATCACCTTTAATAAATGACCCATCTTCATTACGAAATGGCGAATCGTACATTTGTTCTTCATATTCGGGGTTTTGCCTTTTCACATAATCTTCATCAATTTCATTCAAATTATTGTCCTTTTTCAAGCTTTCACTCCTCACCAACTGTCCAAAAAGTTCGCCATGTCTCCTCATTTCAAATGGTAAAGAAGATGCATCTGATGAAACAGACGAGCCAAAATCATCATCCTTAATAAATTCATAAGTAGAAGAGTCTAATTTCAACTTCTCATGGTCCTTAGAAGTGGATTTATATCTTACCACCAGGTGACTTGGAATACCAACTCGTCCTAGCTTAAAATTAGTCGATCTTCTTGATAATCCTCTAATCATATAACCAAAATCCTTTACTGATATATGTATTTTCGTGATTTAGCATCACCTATAATGATGTGAAAAATTATCTGGTAGCAGATGTGTCGCATATTATGTCTAACCTGCAAACTCGAGTGCGACATTATTTGATAATATTTTTGCACGTTTGCTCATTGGATATCAACGTTGACCAACCGGAAACTAACCTAGGGTAATCGTGTGAATTCGAATCATAAGTCCGTCATATATCATGTTTGTTAGAAGCTCAATTCACTATGGTGCATCGTTAGCAATCGTGGGTGCATTTTTAACTAAACCTTCGCAAATTTTCAATGAACCTAAACGTAGATTTTATGAAGATGAATCGGACGTTATTCCAGTTCCTGGTACTGTGACGCCGGCTCCAGGCACAGAAATAGAAACATTGGGACCAAACTTAATAGTTGATGGTATTTCTGTGCGTTCCACGAGCACACTTGAATCATATTTCAGATCTATTAGAGAGTCAGCTGTTCAAGGGATTAATCTGGTTCAACACTACATGAACCAAGGATATACTAAATACAATGAAACAGAAAGACAAGTGACGGATACTATGACCGAATTACATTATAAATCTGAAGATCTTTTACCAAACACCCTTTACATATTGATAGCAACTATGTCCGGTAACATCATGGCTCGTCAAAGGGGTCTCATTGCAAAGACTACATTCCCTGTTGTTTTGGGGTTGGCATCGTTCAGATATTTCTTACCACAAACATTCAATAATGTCACTGGATTTGTTTGGAACTTGGAAAAGAGGACTTTGCCAGATTTGGCCGAACAACAACAATTAGCACTCGCAAAAGCAGACAACTTTATTCAAAATGTTGAAAAGTCATCGCAAAGAAACCAGAAGCGTTTAGAGGATGGTACTAATTCTTTAAGAAAATCCATTGCCCAAGTTACTGGCTTGAATTTAGATGAAGAAGTCTCTAAAAAGTAAACTACAATAGATCACGTACGGCTTCCTAAAAGTCTATATTATAACTAAAAGTCCATATTATAACTAAAAGTTCTTTATTTTAGATCCTTGTTGAAACAGTTATATTGTTTTATTTATTTCACTACATCTTTATTAGATCTTTCAATATATGATTTATTTATTGACATAAAATCCAAGCCGCATGCAATTTTTTGGTTGCACAAATATAAAGATATCAGAATTCACAAAGTTTGATATCCACTTGTTTACATAAACCCTATACTATCCGTAATAAACAATTCGCTGAGACCAAATCATTATTGGTATAGAATTTATTACATATGTCGTAAGCATTCCTCGATCTTTGCACCCCTCAACCTATTAAATACTAATAATGTTTAGCAATATATTTCATACCAAAGGTATAGCAACTTCAAATCCCAAAGGAGGATTTTCGGCTGAACTCCCAAGTGTTTCCAAGTTCTCAACTCCTACTTCTAATTTCAATAATGAAAATATGTCTGACTCGTTTATGGTGCGTCCTACAACTGCATTTATGAAAGTATTTGATAAATTCTCAGCAATATCTGGGTTTGGTAACACTTCGGGCAATAATGTCGACAACATCAATAGCTTTACAAGTGGAGCCAACAAAGACAAAAAACAGAATAATATTCTGGCGGCACAATTACAAAGTAAGATAGGTAAGATCTCAAGACTCGAAAATAGACTTATGTCGTTACAGGATAGTCTCACCAACGACTTGATTGATTGGGGTTCAGGAATTCCTAATCCTGATAGTGAGCGTATGGTAAAAAACTTTAGCATGTTATTAGCTGCTCAAAAAGATTCAAGTGTACTAATAATTGAAAAGTTAGACAAGCTAAAGTTGAATTTGGCATTTGTGAACGAACGAGAGAAGAAGCAAAATGACCTACTTGCTGCGAAAACAAAAATATTAAAGCAATTGCGCTACAGCGAAGTGAAATATGGTCCAAATGCGTCCTCAACAACACTCTTAAAAGAAAAATTGGAAGAAAACGTTTGTAATTTAGGTGTGGTTGAAATACAGTACATAAGAGCTATAACGAAAAATTTAAAAGATGCATTAATTGATTATTTATATGCTTTACAGTCTGTTTCGGCTAATATAAGCGATGCTACTAATGATTATTACGAAATTCTATTATCTTTGGAATCGGGCCAAGATTTAGCACGTAATTCCCCTAGAAAAATTGGCAACGGAATGAGTGGTTTGAATAGGAAGGATCTTAATTTCAATACCTCCAATTCGTATGGGCTTCTGAGTAAATCCGCTAATGAGGTCGACTACAACCTGCCTAAAAATAGTGGTTTCCAGGAAAGAAATAGTCCTATAAGAATGACTTCACAAGTTGCTGATGATTACCAGAATTATTCCAATTGCGTTGAATGTCAGAAAAATAACAAGTATCACCACAGGCTTATCACGCCATGTACACATAACGGTTCTAACATTGACCCCAGAACTTCCAAATCCATACATATGTCGCCTACTCGAATTTCCCAAGATAACATTAGTGTACAAGGATTTGAAATAAAAGACGGCTACCTGCCTAGTGAACACTGGAATTGATTCATTAATGCATTTATTCGTATGTTAAATTTTTAGAAAATAAATCTACTTGTCTTATATATACAACGATGTATTGCAGTGGTTATTCCTCGAGTACGACTGTACAGCAAGAATATAATCAGTACATCTCTATTACTAGTTTTGATTACCGCTTCTAAAAATTTTTACCTATCTCATATGACGAAATCATGATTGCACAGGATGGGGCAATTTTCAAGACACGAGGACCGATTCCACTGTATAAGGCTCTTAATCCTTCTTGTCTATAAATGCTAGTTAGGAATTTGAACATCGAAGGTTTCTTCTCGGAACCTTCTTTAGCAGCTTGTTCACTCGTAATTTGTAATCTTGTCTTCCCAACATCAAAAGGGTGGGTGCAAAACGCCCCAATTGTTCCCGATAATGATCCCGATATAAAACTCGTAGCAAAAATCTTCCAGTCTTCAACTGGTTCTGCTATGCTAGACTTTTGAAAATCAGCGTTAAGTACATTACTTATTTTAGCCTTGAATATCTCGTAACAAGACCAATAAATTCCAGAAAATGGTACATCTCTCCATAAAGTAATTTTTAATCCTCTGAACAAAGTTCCCACACCCTTTTGTTTCACAATGGAATACAGATCTTTAAATAGATTGGATAATATGTTTGGATTCGCTTTCTTGTCAGAGGGAATGGATTGCAATCTAGTTTTTATTAACTCTATAGGCGCAACAAAAGTTGCTGCCATAACTCTTGCACAGGATCCACAAACTAATGGATTTAGAATATGTGATTTTAATGGGGAATTATCTCTTATGTATTCATATCCCGTGAAATAGATGATGTTTGAGGGAATCGTCATGAATAATGTTAAAGATAGTCCTCTCCACAACGTAAATATTCCTTCATGCTTGCTGATAGTTGAAAACCCCTGAAAAGTAGACGTTATTCTAAAACAGTTTTCAGCACTTTTACAATAGTTTTGAGACAACCAGAATAATTCAGGTGGCACCCCGGACGTTGGTTTTTGCTTCGCTATAACATCCGCCGGGAAGTGCACTTCACAACAAGGGTTAGTAATAGGTAAAATCTCTTGTTGTTGAATACGTATCCTTACAACATCGAATGGAGTTACTACTAAAGATGTCACAAATGATCCCAGACATGCACTAATCATTCTTTGAAATAACGTTATATCTTCACCATTTTTTGGTGATATGCTTGTAAGCGATGTTTTGGCTTTTTGTATTGCTGATAAGTTTCTAAAATGGAGATCATCTTCCTCTATTCCTGCCGCTAGCTCCGATGACATCGACATTTTACTAAAACTATTCACTGAGGGCCCTATATTCGTTACCAATTGTTAAAAAAAGAAGTACATCAAAAAGTGAGTACACGAAAATTGCTGTTGATGGCGAGCATTTGCTCCGAGAACCGGTATTATGCAAGAAATGTTTCTTATTATCTATAAACGTAACTACTGAACTATCTAATACTCCTGTATAACGTCATTGCATGTGTACACGTTAATGTGTCCATCTTGATTATAATTTGTAGCTATCATCATTCTATGCGGGTGAAAAGTAGTACTCGACAAATAACTTGACGTTCTGTTTGACAAATATGTGTCATGAGGATTTTTCAACGTAGTTAGTAAGTCACCAGATGTGGTCCATAAATTAACAGATTTTGAACCAGTAGTTATTATTGGAGCATGTTCGTGGACATCTATACATCTCATAGACTTCTCGGGTGAGTTGGTGTACGTCAAGACTGGATTATTCAATCTTATATCCCACAAATTAACAAAGCCATCGGAAGATCCGCTTACCAATTCTCTATAGCCACCTCTTTGCATATGAACATTTCTTATCGAGCCATGGCCAGTAGCATTTTTAGATGCTTGGTCTGGATTATTTGCGTTACGAGTTTTGGAATTGTGCCAAGCTTTTACCATAGATTCTCTTGAATCCAATCTTCTATCATAAACTCGTAAACTGCCATCATCGAACCCTGCAATAAAAATATTTCCTGCTACTTGATCTGAGGTTAATGACGTAATTGAAGAGGATGATCTTGCAGGAATATCCACTAAACATAACTCTCTTGGCGCATCCCATACTCTGATAATCTTAACATCCCCACTGACTAATAAAGACCCTCTCGATTGCTGCCATTCAGAAATTAATCCGGAACTTTTTGAAGTCAATAATAAGTCAGTTAAGGCTCTCCAAGATGAAACTAGCTCGACATTCCGCTCCCCTATGTTATTAGGGGTGTGGAAATTTTTATAAATTTTAATGACCCCATCAGAAGAACCTGTCAACAATAAAGGTAAATCGTCTTCGTTAAGAAATTTAATGTCAGTAATTTTTGTACCAAATGGGTTGCAATTAGAAAATTTTCCTACCATCTTATTCATCTCCCAGTCCCAAACAGACACATTATCCTTCTCATCACTGGCAACTAATATTTTCTCAAATTGAGTGAATTTGATTAACTTAGGTTGTGACTTGTTATTCATAATAGTTAAACTTTTATTCCAATCCCCTCTGATCGCTACACTTTTCTGAGATTGAGTTTCTTGAATAATAGCTTCATTTCTATTTCTTCTCCATAATCTTTTAACATATTCTTCCGACCCAGGTTCGTCAATTTCATTTTTAGACATTTGAGGTTCCTGAAAATATTCACAACTGTATTCGAAGAAGCCTGATTCCGTAGGCAATTTCGGTTCAATCGACAATTTTCTAGGCATGAAACGGGGAGTTTTAGGTTTATATTCGACACCGTAGCTACTTGCAATTGGCCCTGAATTCAATATCCTAGTAAAATTCTTCAACTCGTTATCATCATTTATTTGGAATGACTTGATAAGTTTAAAAAGTGATAAATTCTTTAACTTTGAAGAAATGGAATCTGCATCAGAATCATCGCTCTCAAGTGGATTTCTATCCATATCATTGGTTGAAGCTGACCTTGTTTTAATTGAGGATCCATTAATAGTCAACATATTGCTTTTGTGCTGTAATGTTGGTCCGCTTGAAACTTGACGTCTATTCGGATGTGAACCATTCAATGAAGCTAATTGGCGGTTAACGATGGGTTTGGTTGGTTTGAAAGTTTCATTAATATTAATAGTTGATTTGCTCAATAGGTAGTCTTGCATTTCTTTAACCAATGGACCTAATTCACTCTCATTTAACTTCACCATAACTGAATCAATTAAAACTTCTGCCATTTGTTTGACTTCTAAATGAGGATCCTCTGATAGAATTAATAATGATTTCCAAAGTGAACTAAATATTGAACCATAAGCTGGTGACTTTTTACGGAATTCACTCAAGTAATTAGAATTATCAATAAGAACAATCTCCTCCTCTAGCTGATTAAATGCCAAAACAAGAAAAAACTTGGAATAAATACTAATAAATTTATTGATGAAGTAAACGATTTCTTTCCTAACCATTGAGGATCCATCACCAAGCAAACTTAAAATAGTATTTGCAAGTCTCAAGTCTTGTTGTCTTAATTCATCTCTTCTCAAATCTGGACCAACATTCATATGAGAACGTTGCTGTTGTTGCTGTGATTGCTGTGGTTGCTGAAAGTCTGCAGAATCGCTTAGGAAATTAGTCAAGGCTAAAACAATAGAAGTCCTCACTTCTGGTATAGGATCATTAATCATCATCAAAAACTTGTTTAAATATCCATCTTTATAGATTATCCACTTTCCATCTGGATAATTCATCCAAAGCTGAGAAAGCAATAAACAACACCATTGTCTTAATAGGGGATTTTCACTAGTTGAAAGAAACTTTAAACAATTATTAATCAACTCAATAGAAAAACATAACCTTTGGCCATTTTTAAAATCCTTAATGAATAAGGTCAAAATAAATGCACTCATTGCTTTGTGATCATCATTAATTAAAATGTTTGCACCAGATCCATTAGCGATGGTATCAGCACCATTAAGTTGGTTCATCGGATTTGAATTTAATATTATGTAGAAATAATTGTAACCTTTATCCTTGCATAACTCTTGCTGAGTGCTCTTATAATCAATTGCCATTATCCTTGCCCAAATAAAAATTAAAACCGGTTTTAATTCTTGAGCTGGACTCTGCAATAATTTTAAAACGTAAGGGAAAATACCTATTGATAATGAAAGGTAAACTGCCCATGGACCTAAATCTAAGAATTTTGACAATAAAATCAAAGCCCTTAATCTGTGAACTTGTGAAAGTAAGACTTGCAAAACAATTGGTAACTGTTCTGGTGGTTCCTTTGTAGATGATCCAGCATATTTCAACCATATTTCAAATGCAGTTAACTGTTGTTCGAAAAATGTTGAATGTTGATAATTAGCCAAATTAGGAGGAGCAGCTACTGTTGAATTTAAATTTCCTGTACTAGCCGAAGTAGTAATAGATGATGTTTGTGCTGATGAATTAGACTTAGATTGAGAATTTGTTGTGGATTTATCTGATAGTGATTGAGTAAATGGTTGTTGCTTAATCAACTGAGATTGATTTAGTGAGGCACCAGTCTGAGGATCTGGATTGTTATTTTTAAGTAATTGAGCAAATACTTGGTCTATAGCTAAATCCCAGGAATCCCACATGCGATGAAATCTGACTGTATCGGGTAAAGGTGGGTCACTTATAGGATTGCAATTTAAATGAGGCATAATTCTTTTAGCTAATAGGAAATTCCTAAACAAAGCTGCGACCATTAAATCCTGTCTAAACAATCTCTTGAAGATAGGTCTCGATAAAGATGCCCAAGCAATTGTGTCTGTTATAGCAGTGAATATCCAATTTAATTCTCCCAATGGAGTTCTTCTGTCAGTTAATTTTCCAGGAATGATGACTGTGCCGGTGGCATTTCGAGGTAATAAGTTGTAATAGTTTTTCTTTAGTGGCGATTGCATGATGAACCACTTTATACTTATATCAATAGGACACGTCAAACAACAGGTAAACAAATCTGCCGGTAAATCTGGACTCATTGGCAAAAGTTCATTGCTTCTACAAGCCGCCAATTGAATGCAGTCTAAATATGCAGAAGTTGGAGATGGGGCACTTAAATCATGATTACCTTCATTATCGTCATCAATCCGTTTCTGTGCAAATTTCTTGAAATTATGAACAATATTACCTGCACTGTTACAATCATACACAAATATGACAGGTGCACCCAACCAGGTTTGCAAATCGTATAATGATATTGGAATGTATTGTGTATATCCCCTATTGAAAACCCAAATCTCACCACTTGGAGTCGGCTGAGGGACTCCGTGGCCGTTATAATGAAACAAAATTCTCTCGTCTTTAGCATTTCGTCTGAGAGTATTGCAGAATCGTTTCACGTCCTCCACGCATGGATCCAACGACTGCTTATAACGAGTTCTCAAAGACAACGTCTCATATTGTGATTGCAAGTTCTTTCCAATCGTTTCAATTGCCTTCTTAGTGTCTGAAAAGAGCGATGGATCACACCATGCCTCGTACTTTGCACATGGATATGTCTTCATCACATCCGGTGGATCAACTCCCAAATTCAAACATAACACAAGAACCGCGCTTATGGTTTTCTGTCTCTCCTTCATTACTTTCCAGTCGGTAATCGGTTGGTAGTTCTTGATATAGTCGCTCGACTGCTTCATCTCTTCCGTGATTGGGTTCCCATTGGTATTATGTCTTTTATCATCAAAATAAATATAAAAAGTATTAGCCAACAACGTTAAGAAGTTCTCGGAATTGTAGTCTTCGTCAAACCCATGCCTCATTTTATCATTCAAAGGCTTCATCGTTCTTGGACCATATACCAATTGTGAAGTCATTCTCAACGATACCTATTAAATGCTTAATATTTACCGCCTTTTTTACCTTAAGATGACAGCACGGCCCAACTGTAAAATTATTATTGATGTATTATATATACCTTTACGTAGCTGATAAATGCTCTGTAGAATGTATATCAGTCAAGATTTATGCTATTGATAAAGGACAATAAATTTCGTATTGGGCCGTAGATCACGTGTTTTATGTATATTAGACCTTCACCATCGGCCTATAGTATTGCAGAGTATAGATCATATTAAGATAGAGATAGATGATGAATATTAGGAGGGTTTTAGAAGGATTAGGAATAGTAGTCAGAGAGATGAGGTGTTAGTATCAATATTCTTCAGGGTGATATTGTCAAGAAGAAAAAAATAGAATTGAGTTTCGACAGATGATCGACAATACAGACTTGAGGAAATAACCCCCTATTACAAGTTTTTCTACCATAATATCATCGATAGCATCTACTTTTACATAGAGAGCTATTTTAATATGGCAATCATGAAATTGTATTTTTTGTATATTTTACCTCTTCCGCGACATCTTGATTAACTATGAACAATGTTATGGGATATGGTTTTCCAAGGAATAAATTTCTCCCAGAAGTTACTATCTGATATTTTTCTACAGTCTTAAATCCTTTTTCGAATTGGCCTCTACGTTATATTTATCTATCCAAAGCAATATATAGCTTTATATCATTATTACTTCCACCATGCTTTTAAATTTCTCCTTTTCATGAATTTCAGTCAAAAAGTTCAGCCAAAACGTTTCCTGGAAATCGAATTCTTTCTTTGCAAGGTAATGGCTTTGTCTGTTCATGGTATCTTTTTTACTTGCTGTTGATCTTCCTTCTCAGGAATATCATTTGCAGCCATTTTAATTGCACACGAGTTGTTCGCGATAGTTAGTATTGAACATCCTTGCATTTATTTACATTGCAGTCTCTTTTATTTGTGTTGCCAGCTTCTTTAGCAAGCATTAATGTCATTCGGCAATACATATTGTCTATTATTGGAGAGAGAACGTTGTCTATTTCTTTTGATATGGGGTATGTATTTTGCAGCCTATTTTGCACAACTAGTCTAGCCGCGCAAAAAGTTGAGACCTTCGTTTCATCAGTACGACTTTGTATTAATGTGAACTAAATCTGCCTCCTTAAAGATAATAATCCTATTATATAATGATTAAACAAAGTTAAAGAAATCTATGAATGTTAAATCAGACAGAATAATTACGGACAATGCCGCTTATGTACTTCTGGAGCTACGATAGGAATGAAATCACCATTGATGAGCCCAATAGACGCCGTATGATGGTGAATCCCAGACATTTGCTAGTGTCCAGAACAACGAAAAACGAAACGCAAGAGTCTTTTCAGATACACACTTATTAATATTATTTCTATCCGTTGGGAAATCCTTTCAATGTGGAGCATCATATTCAAGAATACTTTGATAATTCAATATCAGGACAAATTCAGACTCTCTACCGAGACATATATGGTGTGCATCACAGCTTTGGAACCGGCTCATGTTTAAGACCCCCTTTGAATAACGACAAGATAATAGAGCCTATTATTATTCATTTTACTGATAGAGGTTCAATATCCTGAAGTTTGTTTCGGATTAGGACGAAAAAGAAACTAAAGATAGACCTTACTATAGCTCACAAAACCTACAGATTTGATCCATTTGAAAATGTGCTTCCTAGACATTCTGGGGGATCTGGAAATACTCAAAACCCAACATTAAGAAATATAAAAGAAAATCCTGAGGAAATAAACTGCGATGCAATTCAGGGATTTACGATTCCATGACGGTTTATTCTGGTTTAAGATTAATTCTCCCATCAACAGTTTTTGTCAAATTGTATCACTACTCTAAACGATTATGGGAAGAAAATGATCTAGCACCTTTTACTGTTCCCGATAAAAAAGGTTATTATGATATGTTTTTCAATAAGCTACAATTAATAATATAATTGCAAATTCACATTTGCATTGAATTTTCCAAAGATTATTGTCTCTGGATACTGGAATGGCCTCCCTGATCATCCAATGCATATCTTTGAAAACTTAGACAAAGAAATGCCATTCAAAGAATCAGATTTTGTAATTATTACTTATTGCGATCTGATGACTTTGCTTTCCCATCTCTTTTCTAGAACCTTATGAGTCACCTTTTCCGTTGCACCATCCCCCTTGAAGGTGTCCCCAATCATCAAATCACACAATTGAGACGGGGTTTACTTTCTATTAATCATTCAAAGCTACCTGTTATAGTATATCGTCTGTAGTATGTGGATAATTTTATGTGCAATTACCGAAATGATTTTTCGAAATTTTGTCACTCAAATGGCTCTTGGACCAACGACCCACTATAATTGTGAGTCAAAGGACAAATTCTTTGTATTCGAATACATATAAGATTAAATAAACGTCTTTGAGATTTCAAAAGTGTTGAATAGAAATATTTTTCGTGTTCTTAGAGCTAATATGTCGACAAATAGAACTCCAATTCCATTTTCAAGGGAATCTTTAGAACAGGTCTTGAAGAGAAGATTCTTCTTTGCACCATCTTTCGAAATATACGGAGGTGTTTCGGGTTTATATGATTACGGTCCTCCAGGTTGTGCTTTTCAAGCCAACGTTGTTGATACATGGAGAAAACATTTCATTTTAGAAGAAGATATGTTGGAAGTTGACTGTACTATGTTAACACCTCATGAAGTTTTGAAGACTTCTGGACATGTTGATAAATTCGCTGATTGGATGTGCAGAGATTTAAAGACCGGTGAAATTTTCAGAGCTGACCACTTGGTTGAAGAAGTCTTGGAAGCCAGATTAAAGGGTGACAAAGCAGCCAGAGGTGTTGCTACCGAAGAAGGTGAAGAAGAAGATGCCGATAAAAAGAAGAGAAAGAAGAAGGTCAAGGAAATCAAGAGCGTTAAGTTAGATGACGACGTCGTCAAGGAATACGAAAATGTCTTGGCTCAAATCGACGGTTACTCTGGTTCTCAATTAGGTGAATTAATGACCAAGTACAAGATTAATAACCCAGCTACTGATGGTCCTTTAGAACTTCCAATTGAGTTCAACTTGATGTTTGAAACTGCTATTGGTCCATCTGGTCAATTAAAGGGTTATTTAAGACCAGAAACTGCCCAAGGTCAATTCTTGAACTTCTCCAAGTTATTAGATTGTAACAATGAAAAGATGCCATTTGCTTCTGCTTCCATTGGTAAGTCTTTCAGAAATGAAATTTCTCCTAGAGCAGGTTTGTTAAGAGTTCGTGAATTTTTGATGGCAGAAATCGAACACTATGTCGACCCTGAAGACAAATCTCATAGCAGATTTGATGAAATTAAGGATATAAAGTTGAAGTTCTTACCTAAGAATGTTCAAGAATCCGGTTCTAATGAATTGACTGAAAAATCCATTGACGATGCAGTCTCATCTGGGATGGTTGATAATGAAACCTTAGGTTATTTCTTAGCCAGAATTTACTTGTTCTTGATTAAGATCGGTGTTGACCCTTCGAGATTAAGATTCAGACAACACATGTCCAATGAAATGGCCCATTATGCTGCTGATTGTTGGGATGCCGAATTACAAACCTCTTATGGTTGGATTGAATGTGTTGGATGTGCTGATAGATCTGCTTATGATTTGAGTGTTCATTCTGCTAGAACCAATGAAAAATTAGTTGTAAGACAACCATTACCTGAACCTGTCCTCGTTGAAAAATATGAAGTGAACATTGCTAAAAAGAAGTTCGGTCCAAAATTCAGAAAGGATGCTGGTACTGTTGAAAACTGGTTATTAGCAAGAACTCAATGTGAATTAGAAGACTTGAGTAAGGAGTTGAACGAAAATAATAAGATTGTATTCAAGATTGATTCAATTCCAGACAGCATCGAGTTAGACACTGAATTCGTTAAGATTGAAAAGGTCAAGAGAACCGAACATATTCGTGAATTCACTCCTAACGTCATCGAGCCATCTTTCGGTATCGGTCGTATTCTTTACTCTGTTTTTGAACATCAATTCTGGGCAAGACCAGAAGATAAGGACAGAACTGTCTTATCACTTCCACCTTTAGTTGCCCCAACCAAGGTTTTGTTAGTCCCATTATCATCTAACGCTGAATTACAGCCTATAGTTAAGAAGATTTCCGCTTTCTTAAGAAAAGAGCAAGTTCCTTTCAAGGTCGATGATTCATCTGCTTCCATTGGTAAAAGATATGCTAGAAATGATGAATTAGGTACCCCATTCGGTATCACCATCGATTTCGATTCCGTTAAGGATGAATCTGTTACTTTAAGAGATAGAGATTCTACTAAACAAGTCAGAGGTTCTCTTGAAGACATTGTCAAAGCTATCAAAGATATTACCTACAATAACGTTTCTTGGACTGAAGGTACTTCTAAGCTTACTCCATTTGATTCTCAATCAGAAGCCTAATTAAATGTATAGTTTCTCTTTAGAGTTATAGGTTCTCAAATTTGCGGTTATGTGAATTATTATAAGTATTTTGAGTGTAGTTAAAACCAAATACATATCTACATATTGTGCTCTTCGCATTACCGTACTAATCTCTTAAAGTTATATATAAACTTAGAATTTGTTAAATTTTATAAATGGGC